ATATTGCGAAGGGAGCGTGGGACCACAATATTTTATTGGCATGCACTTCACTTATCGGTGAGTAAAACAGCGAGACGTCTTCCCCATACACGATTCTATTGGGAGTTTTTTTACCTCATCAAGTAATTTATGGTGCAGGAGACGACTCGTCTGATCCCCTAAACAAAAAATATTATGTTATGAAGTATATAAAACACAGTTTTACCCGGAATCGATAAATTTCACAGATTATCTCAAGATTATAAGAGTCCGTGTGTTGTGATCGCAAATTTTACATAATTTAGAAAGCCACTGATATCACCCTGATATGGAATGAGAATGATTTCATCATAGTACTACCCCCGGCACATGATGTAATTAACGATGCCATTCATGATATTGAACGATGCCATCATGATATTGAACGATGCCATCATGATATTGAACGATGCCATCATGATATTGAACGATGCCATCATGACATTGAACGACGCCATCATGACATTGGATGACGCCATCGTGATATTGAATGATGCCATCATGATTGTGAATGACGCCATCATGATTGTGAACGATGCCATCATGATATTGAGTGATGCCATCATGATTGTGAACGATGCCATCATAATATTGAACGATGCCATCATAATATTGAATGATGCCATCATGATTGTGAACGATGCCATCATGATTGTGAACGATGCTATCATGATATTGAATGATGCCACCATGACATTGAACGATGCCATCATGATATTGAATGATGCCATCATGATATTGAACGATGCCATCATGATATTGAATGATGCCACCATGACATTGAACGACGCCATCATGACATTGGATGACGCCATCGTGATATTGAATGATGCCATCATGATTGTGAATGACGCCATCATGATTGTGAAGGATGCCATCATGATATTGAGTGATGCCATCATGATTGTGAACGATGCCATCATAATATTGAACGATGCCCTCATAATATTGAATGATGCCATCATGATTGTGAACGATGCCATCATGATTGTGAACGATGCTATCATGATATTGAATGATGCCATCATGATATTGAACGATGCCATCATGATATTGAATGATGCCACCATGACATTGAACGATGCCATCATGATATTGAATGATGCCATCATGATATTGAACGATGCCATCATGATATTGAATGATGCCACCATGACATTGAACGATGCCATCATGATATTGAACGACGCCATCATGATATAGAATGATGCCACCGTGATATTGAATGATGCCATCATAATATTGAACGACGCCATCATGATTTTGAATGACGCCATCATGATATTGAACGATGCCATCATGATCTTGAACGATGCCATCATGATATTGAGCGATGCCATCATGATATTGAACGATGCTATCATGATATTGAGCAATGCCATCATGGTATTGAACGATGCCATCATGATATTGATGATGCCATCATGATTGTGAATAATGTCATCATAATATTGAACGATGCCATCATGATATTGAATGATGCCATCATGATTGTGAACGATGCCATCATGATTGTGAACGATGCCATAATGATATTGAATGATGCCATCATGATATTGAACGATGCCATCATGATCTTGAACGATGCCATCATGATATTGAGCGATGCCATCATGATATTGAACGATGCCATCATGATATTGAATGATGCCTTCATGATCTTGAAAGATACCATCATGATATTGAG